TTTTTTGTTAGACTCAGGCATACATCATGAAAGTTTCAGGTGTGTTATTCATGTACTGAAAAATAAAGGAATCTTGAATCTGTAGTTTGTTGACTCAGGTATAGATCATGAAAGACTCAAATGTGTTATTCATGTACTGAAAAAAAAATGAATCTTGAATATGTAGTTTGTTGATTCCGGTATATAAAATGAAAGTCTCAGGTGTATAATTTATGTTCTGTAAAAAAAGGATCCAAAAATCTTGAATCAATAGTTTGTTGACTCAAATATATATATATAAAAGAGTTAGGTGTGTTATTCATGTATTGAAAAAAAAAATAAAAGGAATCTTGAATTTGTAGTTTGTTAACCCAGATATATATCATGAAAGACTCAAGTGTGTTATTTTATTTTACTGAAAAAAAAAGGAATCTTGAGTCTGTAGTTTGTTGACTCAGAAATATATCATGAAAGTCTGAGGTGTATTATCTATGTACGGTTTTCTGATACATGTACACATTTGCACATGTGTCAGCTCTCGTGAATGTAAGTGCATTTCTTATAATTATCGCTAGATGGCAGTTTTGGCTTATGTGGTCAGAGGTCACGGCTTACCTGCCAGGTAAACCGTGACCTATGACCCGTCTCTGAGTCTTGTCAGTGTTGCTGTACGGCATATTTTGGAAAGATCCCTTCCTGTATCAAAACTATCCTGAGTAAGTTTTGAATTCTTGTACCTCTTTTTTTTGTTAACATTTACTTTTATGCAAGTTACAGAAGTCGTAGGTAGTAGTCGATACAATACAGAACAATTGTGGGTGACACCTGTTTGGGTGACTCTGCCCCCCTCCCCCATATGTCTACCCTGGATGCCAAACTCGTTTCGGACCGCTAGCAATTTCCTTCGGCAGCCAAGAGCCCTTCTCCCGCGGGTCTAAATTGCCGCTACGGGGAGACTAGCCCGGGGAGAATTTGGCTGGCTTCTAGGGCCGGACAAACCTCTCGGGCTCAACTCCCCCGTAGCGGTAATTTAGTTTAGATAGGCAGGCGAAGGGCTCTTGGATGCCGAAGGAAAATGGCTAACGGCCCGATACCATCCTCCCGAGGCAGGGGTGCTTCCCTACTAACTAACTAACGTATTTGCCGCGGGATAGCTCTGCCGTGGGAGAATGCCCGATACTAGTTTGGCATCCAGGGTACCATATGTCGTAACACGGACGCTGTGTTTTCCTGGTATTGTATTTGTCGAATCCCGTCAATTTTTCTCATATATATATATATATATCAGAGAGACTTAGACAACAGCGAGGAATAGATTTTGAACGCACTGTCTCATGTTACGCTAACTCATTGCGTCGTTGTAATGTACAAACCATCTACAGTATAATCATTTCTAGAGAAGTGGAGTCTCGCTAAGTGACTCATCATGCATAACTTAAAACCAAACAGGGACTGGGTAGGTCGAAGATTCACTGAAGGCTAACTGTAGAAATAAGAAAAACACAATATGATATATAACTAGAGTTCCACGATCTCATACCTTCGCCAAATGTTGTTAGCCTTTATGACTAAGAAATTATAGATTAATCCCCCTGATTGTGCAAATAGGATCCTACATTGCATCAATTATATCTGTTGATCATATTCTACACCAGAAGACAGTCTTATCTTATCAAAGAATCCCATTATAGTATTTCCTCATAAATTATGCAAAGAAGGTCCTTATTTGAATAAGTTATGTTTAATTATGTTCACCTTCACATAACTTTCAAATATCCCAAGTATGAAATTGCAGGCAGTTACCACTATGTATTAAAAACATTTTCTCATTAATTATGCAAATTAAGTCCTCATTTGCATAATTGATATCTGCCTGTATTTCTGCCGTTCCATGTCTAGGATTTTTTCTGTTCTATCAAGTTTTGAGAACTGGGAAACTTATAACGTGTATCCTCAATTGATGTGAAATGTTTCTGTTATGACCAGGGTGGATGTATGCTGCACACCTTCCGCCAGGTGGCGTGTTTGAAAGATCTCCGTTCGAATGTTTCAGTATGGCAGACATGCTGATGGCAGACAGTACTATTACATTTGGCCATAGGAACACATGCTTAAATACACTATTAGAAGTCATCATGAAAGTACTTGCCCATATACTTCAATCTCAATTTTTTTCTGCACCAGGTAGCCTCAAGGGTCTGATTCCCAAATATAAAAGGGAAACAGGGGGTCGACCATGTCAAATTCCCGCCACAGCTGATGACACCAAAACCTCAACTTTGACCTAATTTTCCATGGTATCCATCCGCCTGGCCAGACAAGACCTAACCACTCACATCTCTCATTACGCCCACTAAACTGGTGAAATAAACAAAACTTGACCGAAGTAGGAAAGTTTAGACCCTACCTGTGCCTTCCAGCCCAAAAATCCCCCAAATGGACCAAAACGTTCAAGAGAAAAAAGGATTTTCAAAGGTATTAACTAGGCACTATTTTTTTTCAGGTCTCTACTGCGCAAATGTGGTGTCTGCCCTAGATGGACGGAATGAACACCGGGATTCGCCAGATGCCGTATACAGAATCAGCGATCTAGCGAATTTCAAATCTGAACCAATGAGAAGTGCGATGACATCTTGTTGTGGTGCGAGTACTGTCGGACGCCAGGGTTGGTCACCTAACTGCGCGGTCATAGCTCTCTATGTTTTCGTCTTCTGCATAATCCTTCCGATCTGTTGTCGCAACTGTTACTTCTCAATTTACTACAATCAGGAACTGCACCTAGGTGGCGCTTCTCCGAGTGCTTATGCTAGAAAGGTTAACAACGAACGTATTGTGCAAGCGGAAGCGTTCTTCTCATCACAAAAACGTGACTTACACTTGCCAAGAACAACCAAAGATGTAGAAATGGTCATAGGATTTGTTACAATCAAGAGAAGGGGAGAAATAAAAGATGGAGGAGAGTACGAACCAAGATACCTTCTCCAAACTGTAGCAGGACTTCTACAAGAAAAATTACCAGAGACAACGCATGTTATCATTTGCAACGTGGAAACAGACCCATCTTTACATACCGATGCGGTCTTCTTGTCCGAATTTTTGACTGTTGCATCGAGATATTCGAAGCATGGAGCTGCCAAGCCACCAGGACATCTACAAGACAAAGAAAGAGAAGACTACCTCTTCTGTCTTAACCAAAGCTTAACTTATAATCCTAAGTATGTTCTTCTTCTAGAAGATGATTCCCTCGTTGTACCAGGAGCATTAGATGTCTTAGATTACGTTATAGATAATAAGATTGAGGAAGGACGGTTAAGTTTTGAACCATCAAAAACTTTGGCAAAACTTTACAGTCCCTTGTCACTACAAAGAGATTTTTATTCAGATAAGCAAAGTCGCATTTTCAGGAACATGTTGGAATTACTTAGCATAGGTTTACTTGGAGGTTCTCTACTAAGGATACTGTACTTTCCGGTATTTGTGGGAATCAGAGAGAATTCGAACCAACGACTATTTGACAGGTACTTTGTGGCAAGTTTCGTCTGCTGTGTTTTGGCTGCGCTGGCTGTTTCAAGACCACATTTGTTAGAGCTCAGAAGACTCTCAAAACAACTGTACATGATACTAAAAGCCAATGACTGTTGCACCCAGGCGATTCTGTATCACAAAGAAATTGCCGAGGCTATCGTGTCACAGTTTGAGAAAGGCCTGGTGCCTGACTGGTATCCCATAGACGCAGGTTTGGATCACCTAGCGGAGAAGCTTGGTATTGCACATGTGTGCGTCGAGCCGAATCTGTTCACACATATCGGGATGTACTCAGCTCTGCATGAGGGAGAAAACGTCTATCTTAAGGACTTTTCTTGATAAGGCCATTTTTCTTATTCCAACATGTAATCACAAGACATGGTGACGGCACACAAGTTTTTCAACTTATATTAATGCCGCCACCAACACAGGGGACAAATACATGACAGGACAATACTCATTTTCACCTGAGCGAAGTGAGGAAAGTAGTGTAAAGTGCCTTTCCCAAGGGCATGCGCACAAAATCGGTGGCATGTCAGGACTCGAACCCGGGACCACTAGGTTCCGAGTCGCGCACACTGCCGCTACGCCACATGACCTCACAAAGGCCATGTTGATTTGATAACTGATGAAAGACATTTTTGTAGGCTTTATTTGTTTTCCAACATCTAATCACAAGACGTGGTGACGGCACACTCAAGTTTTTTTTTTCAATGTGATGAGTAACTTAATTTTTGGTACATGTACATGTACCACTAATAAATAGTAAGAGCCGGTATACGATATGAAACAAGCAACCGTTTTCCGTCAGCGACATCACATTTTTGCCTCACAGATACCAGTATGTCATGGCATAGGGTTTGATTCAACTTACTAAATTAAAAGAATGACCAGAAAATTGATTTTGAAAATCATAAAATCCAGTTTTGCTGCCCTGAAATTTCATTGGATGTTCATAACAGGACATTATGTAACATTTTTGCACAAAAATTGAAATATTTCAATGGAATAGAATTATTTAACACATTTGTACAATCACATCACATTTCTGACATTATGGTTGGCGCTAAAACAGCCCACAAGAGGTGCACTTAGTTTACCATATACTAGTACCAGAATGTAAAGAAACATGGCTGACAGCTAAGGCGTCATATATTTTATTTTATCTTATTCACATTTATTTTTCGGGGATTGGGCAAAAAGTTATAAAACTTATCTCAGCCCTCTCCTCACACATAAAAGGAAACAATAAAACAAAGTAATAAGAAGAAGAAGAAATGACAAAGGTACATAATGAGCTGGTGTACAAATCAAAATCAATCAACTAAATCAAACAAAACATCCTGTCTGCAAAATAAAGTTGAAAACCACATCAAATATTTTACAGTTGTTGACAAACGACAATGAGGGGTTACTCCTGAGAATGGTTGAACATAAGGGGTTGTCGGTGACGTCATATATTGAAACCACCTTAATGGTACTTACAGTTTGATTCAACTTACTTTGTAAAGAAAATGACCCAATAAATTGCTTATTGTACCGTCCTTATGTTACATAATGTTACATTATTGTACAAACATGCATATTTAACAGTTTGGTTTTGTCACCACGTTTCTTCGTCATCACAAGCTCTTCTCAGATACCTACAGTTTTGTAGCTGTAACAGGGATGACGTGGCTTCATCTTGGTCTCCATTTTGTTTTTCATTCCCTTCGTCATACAATCCGGCGACATTTACGTAACCAAAAATCCCGCTTTTTCTCGATCTACGGGAGCTGGAAACCCGCGTGCGCATGCGCTGTGCCTCAGATGATCTACGCGCAGTGAGCTGTGATGTCGTGTGCCGTCTGCTTGGATCACGTGATGCGCGTTGCCATGGTGACGAAGAGTCAGACGACCGAACTACTACAGAATTTGACCGAGTACGGAATGATGCAGAAATGGATGTAACAGAAGAAGGAGGTCTTGTTTTCTTCTTAGACATGGCGTTTCCTTTAAGAGACGACGTGAGAAGAACCGGACTTGTCTTACTTCTAACCATCTTCGGTCCGCCTGGTGATGGTTCCGTGGATTTGTTTATACCTTTGACGTCATTTGGCCTGAAATCTTTCCCTTGAAGGTCCGCAAACGACGTTTTTATGTCCTCAATTATAGTCTCTAACTGCTGGCGGCCACTTTCTTTCTCATGGTTGTTGAGTTTGTTGTGCGAAACATCTGGCTTGGGCTCCGCGTTGGTCACATGTTCTTGACATTTGGTATCTTTTGTCGCTTGCACCGAGTTGTGGTTACCGTCATTAGGAAGGGATTTAGAGTTATTAATCTGCCAAAACTTATCGCTACAAATATTGGACTTAGCTGGCCCCGTCCTGCGGCATTCCTTTGAGGCTAGAGTCGTAAGATTGTTTGGTTCCCCGGCTGACCACGTTTTTCGTCGGTATCGGTCCGGATGCCGTCTCCTGTCGCACGTTTGTTGTGCTGCGTTGAGCTCTGTTGTTTCCTCTGATAACGTGTTTTTCCTCAATGTTTTCTTGTCAAACGGCAGCGTGTTCAGACGCATTCTCTGCCGAGATAAAAGTGTTTGCTCGCCGATTGTTCTTTCAGAAGTTTCAAAATAATTAAGCTCGTATCTCACCGGGATGGCTGTAGACGGCCGTGCGGGGAGGCTGTACCTCTGCTTCCTTACGTCAACCCTTGTCCTTATGTCTCCCTCTCCATCTTCAACTTCTGTCAGCTCCTTCTCCAAAGACTTGAGGTTGTAGGCGCTGGGCAGGTTGAAGTCTTGTACGGAAACCGACCGCTGGCGGACGCGCTGTGGTTTCAAGCGCATGATCGGTGGCGTGTCCGTGCCGTGTAACCGCCATATTCTGTCGGTGCTCTTCCGCAGGTTCCTGAAATATTCCTTCTTTAGATTGTCCAGTTTGTTCTGGAGCGCCACGTCACAAGCCCTGTTGGCCTGTTGGACTTGAGAAAACTTCCGACAGAGATGGTCCACGGGTATTCCAGCTGACGACGTCCCTGCCATGATTTCTGAGACAAAATCTGGGACAGTACGTACCGGATAGCTCTTCTATCTTGAGTCTCTTTCCCCAGTCCGAATTGCCAAATGGTTTACCGTTAGTTTTTTTTCTCCAACGTTAGAATGTATGTCTGTTTTGACACATCCAGAACATTTGGCGTCGCTTAAAAAGTCGCTTAACCTATGATAAGAACACCATCAAAACAGCTACCACGTTGCCCGTTTCTGCGTCAAAACATTTCACCAGCCGCGACTAGGGAAATCCACCTGTTCCTTTTGAAGAAAAAAAACAAGTCGATCCGGCACAAACCACGATGTACACAGCGTCTTTCATTCACTCCTAAGTCTATAAATGATGATGTTGACGGATGTTGACTCTTTCAGACGCTAAGACTGAGTCTGTTTGTGGGACGACGTCTCTGTGTGGTATGACTGTCGAGTCCGTAACTCCAGCTGGTTTGTCTTGCTTAGTGTTAGGCCATGTTGATTTGATTATATGGATGACATCCTCTGGGAACCCCATTAAAACTGATGCGAGCGTGCGAATAAAAAATGTTTCGTAAAAGAAGCTGCCTTCATTATGCCAACAGTAGATGGTAGGTAGTTTATAGTATTATTATAATGTATAGATTCATAGCACTTTGCATTAGAATATAGCGTACCAGTATGAAATACTCATGTTTTACATACTGGATATCCTCTTGTGCATTAAGCCCATCTGGGAAAGAACATGCAATAAAGATTCATATCATATCATATCATTATGAAATCTACGTATTCGTCGTACGTGGTCATGACGGTTGAACAAATAACAAGAGTATGGTATGGCGAATAATAGACTCTTCATTTTCATATCTTCACATTTCCTTTTTATTTGGAATTGATTTTGGCACTCCTAGACATTAGTATGGTTTTCCAATATATTTTTTTTAAATCTACGACATATATTTACTAATTTTGCAGCTGCTTTGTACGATTTACAGTATGGCCGAAAACTTTTTAATTTGGAAACGGACACGAAAATTCATGCGCGCGGATGTCATCCACGTAATCAAATCAACATGGCCTAATGTGTAATCACGTTAATGTGTGTGTTGTCAGATTATATCCCATTTGTTCTCACTAACATGTTTGCTGCCCGACAACAAGCCGTAATTACGTATCCAAGGCCACGACTATGGGCACATCTGTTTTGGCGACGCCATCATGATATTTAACATAGCCTGGTCTTACGTGATTGGGGATGTTGGGGGTGTTCAGGCAGGTTGTGTCTTCGGAGGCTCTAATAGCTTCCCCCGCCCAGTGCAACAGACCGTCCCGGTAGGAGTGTTACGCTAATAAGAGACAGTATGCTTGGGGGTTTGGTTTACCCCATCATCAATCTCTCGTGAAATACACACCGGGACGCTAATGTGAGGCGAGCGGGACAGAGCTCTTGCGGCCCCGACCACGATCAGACTGAATACCAGGCTATGATATTACGGCACCATGTGTACATGTACTCTCAAAGTACAATAAAGAATTTCAGACTAAAAGTACACTAAAGTGTGGCATTAATGTCTTTCCGGCTGTCGCCACTTCTGCTAAGCCATTTGATCCTATATTTGCAACCTTTTGTTTATTAAGTACTGAAAGATCAACAGGGTGACGGTAATTTATTCGGCGTTTACACATCATTTCAGCGGTTGTTTGATGTCTCCATGACGCATTTTATCAAATGTATCCCTGGCTACCTATTGTGTGGTGGTATTAATGGCACATGAGGCCACAGCAAGTAATTTTTATGGATGACATGAGCCCGCGCATTAATTTTCGCCTGATTTTGAAAAAAAAAAAACAGGAAATTTTGTTGCCTTCTGACAGTGGTCAACATGCCGAAAATGGGCAAAGATGTCTGTTACCACTATAAAGAGAGGAGACAAGAAAAGGCTCTGATTTATTGTTTTGTTTCTTACTTGGATGCAGCGATATGTGATGCTGGCTGTGTATATGTGATGTTCCCACTGAATCAAAACCATTGAGTCAAAATTTTAAAATGTAGGAACCTTGTTTTTTTTCGGCCCGCCTTGTTTTTTTTCATCCGCTCGCATTAGATTTGGAGTCTGCGGAGGATGTCATCCATAGAATTTACTTGCTGTGGCCAAATGGCCCATAATAACCAGGACACGACAGCTGGAGGTACAGACGACGACGTTATTTTTCACTCCGACCAAGGTTCAGTTAGCCACGATACCAAATTTGTCTCTAAATACAAAAATGAACACATAACCACATTGCTCTACAACAAAGGATTTACTAATTTTGTAATTTATATAAAACTGAGTATGAGTGTCATTTTGTAGTTGATTTTACATTATATAGAAATTAGAGGGATTCCCTCTATATGTATATAAAGTATAAGTTCCCCAGCTTTAGACTTTTAGATGAAACAGAAACATTTGTATTTCTTATGAAACTAGACAAACCATGTATCATTAGCTCCATATGGTTGCATATCTACCATTGCCTAAAGAAGCGAGAAGACGTTGAACCTGTAAATAGTAGTTCACATTAGTAACAATATCTTACATGTAAAATATTACTGTAATTTTTCCGTTTTTTTCATGACCTGTACTTAAACTTGTAAAAGCATAAACGTACAATACAGTGGGGTCGTGTGGTGTAGCGGCAGAGCGCTCGACTCGGAATGAAGAGGTCCCGGGTTCAAGTCCTGACATGCCACCGATCTTGTGCCCTTGGGAAAGGCACTTTACACGACTTTCCAAACTTCGCTCAGGTGAAAATGAGTATTGTATTGTCCCCTGTGTTGGTGGCGGCATTGATATAAGTTTGCACGTAGCTTGTTTTGGGCTATATTTTAAACGCGTCAAGTAAGAAATGGCAGTAAATGTCAATATCAGATAGATTTCCCCATCCAGAATGTTTTTGCTGCCCTTAATGCTACTTCGTTAACACAATGTATCTTTACAATAACAACTGTCAAATGGGAATTATACGGACCTGTGTGTTTTCAGTTTCTCACTGACAGGCTGTCAACTCACGCTCATTATACAATCAAGTATCAAATGAGTTGGTAGGGAACGCACAGACGCACACAAACACACATATATGCACGGACACGCACACACGCGCGTATGCGCACACACACACACAGACACACTCACACATGCACAGACACACACACACACACTCTCTCTCTTTCACACACACACACTCACATACACACGCACACTCACACATGCACACTCACACATGCACACACACACATGCACAGACACACACGCACACACGCACACATGCACACTCACACATGCACACACACGCACACACATGTACAGACACACACGCACACACTCACACATGCACACTCACACATGCACACACACACATGCACACACACACATGCACAGACACACACACACACATGCACACATACACACACACACACACAAGCTCAACTAAGAAAAGTGGATTTGAGTTGTCAAAAATGACGATAAGTAAAATCTCAGCCAAATTGTCATTTGCTTGAAAAATACTTTAATATTTACAACGCACTATATACAATGGCGAAAAACATATGTATTTCGAACGATCACATTGACCAATGGCACTCTATAATGTCCTTGCATTGACGTACGTTTACGTCTATATTTTGTTACTCCACCAGGTATGATGCAATCTTTGTTGGACTCTTCAAACGTAAGCAATGTCCTCTGAAACCGACATTAGTAGGCATTCCGTCGGTCTTACAAGACCATGAATTTCAAAGTACTCCATCTACACCACATGTACTTATTCTTGCTTTTGCGCATAGAATAGATTATTATTATTTGTTATTATTATTATTATTATTGTGGGCCGGCTACTCTCTCTTCGCAGCCAAGGCTGAATTGTGAGAAACTTACAATTATTGGATCTTAATCTCAAGGATCTGGAGCGGCTGCCATTCAGCGCTAACTCTGGTGAACTCAATACGACCCCAGGTGCAGCCATAGGACTGTAAGGTTTGAAAAACTCACACCAGGTCGCCTACTCTTTTAGATAAGTGCGGTGGGTTTTTTTAAGTGCGTGGGGTGTGGCTCTCCCAAACACGTTAGGGAGTGTAATGTTAGTCCAAGGACATTATACACTTGTAGTATAATGCCCTTGGTTAGTCAGACTTTGATTCCAGTCCTTCCTTCTCCTGTATCTCTGTGAACACGTCCCTGAGTGCCTGGGCCAGCTCAGGTTTGCGCATGTTGAGGAGGTGCCTGGACAGCCGCTGTACTCTCTCCGCGTTCTTACAGAAGGGCGTACAGGACAGGGTCTTCCACTTCAGCATTACCTGTAGGCAGTCATAAAAACAGAACGTTTCACGTTAATCAACGGAATAAATCATAACCACAAGCATATATGTATTTTTTTTATTTATTCACATATATTTATTGAGTATTGGGCAAAAAGCAAAAGTTGCTTATAGGCTCAAAAACATATAAAGAGTGTAAAACACATTGACAAGATACATGCATACAATGTAATTACAAGGTGGGTAAAACCAAGATAAATACAAACAAGACAAGTTGTTGATCTATCAATTACGAGAATCTACCCGTACAGTAAATAAAATTCTAAACTACATCAAAAACATTACAGTTTTGTAGGTGTGAGATTGATGTGGACCCTCGAAGTAGTAGAAACATAGGGAACTGTCATTGACAGTATATGTATTGTCTGAGTCCCTGTCTTACATAAAGAACCTTCCCCCCGAACACCAGCCGACCAACGTTGGTTGACGAAGTTCGGGAGTAGTTTTTCAATGCGAAGTTGAGTTAAATTTGAGTCAAGTCTACTGCCAACCACGACCCGAACACCAGCCGACCATGGCCGAACCTCCCGTTCACACCCGAATGTTTCAAACATTTTGGAACATTCGGCTGGAGCAACTGAACGGTAGTCAACCTGGCTGAACACCATCCGACCTTCCTCCCGACCTACTCCCAACTTTGGTTGGGACAGTTCGGTTGGTGTTCGGGAGGCTATCTTCGGCCATGTGTAACGTGGGTACATCATGTATATATATTCAACACACACACACACACACACACACACACACACACACACACACACACAAACAAACAGACGTACACGTACAAACACATGTCACATGCACAAACACATGCATGCACAAACGCACCACATACATACAAACACAAGCAAACCACGCACACGTATACAGACAAACACGTACACAAACACACACATGTGTACAAATACTCGTACACACAAAAGCAGGCAAAACACGCAGGTGTGCACACGCAGACACATGCACAAACATATACACGTACATATACATTGTACATATACAACCAAGAAACATACAAGCACACACACGTACACAAACACATGTACACACCCAACGCATACATCTGTGCTGTCCTGTGGTAGACAGTGCTAGTGGTGTACAGTCTATCGTTGTTGGGGTAGGCTCTCTTCGGAGCTACATTAGCTTTCCCCCGCCCAACTCAAATGGCCTCTCGGAGTGCGCCTGTAAGACCTATAGGAGTTTTGTATAGCCCGGATGCCAGGCCCATGAATATCCAGTATGCATCCAGGCTCTTGTGCATACTGGATGACTTTGGGCCTAGTGTACTATAGTATGGGTCTGGTATTCAGGCTATTCAAGTTTTGCATGGCAGGACTTCGTTTAGCCCGTTTGGGGCTAATTGAACTCCCCATCGTGCAAATCCTACCGGGAGCCTAGTTGAGTTGGGCGGCGAAGAGCTCGTGCAGCCCCGAAGAGGACCCGCCCAGACCACGATAGACCGGACACAATCTAGTGTTCGCATTATCATGAAAGTTCATCTGTGTTCTTGGTATTAATTATAGTAAAATGTTGAACTTGATTCCAACACAAGGATTACACAGAGATCAAATTTTTAACGACGTAAAGTAAGTCTCGTGTGAGTAAGGTCACGTGTCTGTAACGGCAACTCTCGCGAGATTACGTTTTGAAGTGATTGGTCATTAATTATCCTGAAGAAGGTGACAGTGGTCGTTGAAAGTTTGATTTCTGTGTAATCCTTGTATTAAAATAAAGTTCAGCATTTTGCTATTCACGAGTTTCCCATCCCCAGAATGCATTGCGAAAACAGGGGTCTAAATCTCATTTGCATAGGGCAGGAAGGCATCGGAATGATCCCGGTGACGTTAAACAGCTTGCTTTTCACTGTGTTTTGGGGTCGAATTACTATGGGTTGAATCTGACAACGAATAGACACAATGAAGTTTTTGTGTTCTTTTAACATAGAACATGTGGTTTGTAACGTTACAGCACCAGTATAGCGTTACCACTATAACGTTACAAACCACATATTCCAAAAAATTAATTCTCTATTTGTTGTCAGATTCAACCCATAGTAATTTAATTAACGTTAAGCATAAAATGCCCCAACACCTCAAAACACACTGAAAAACAAGCTGTTTAACGTCAACAGGATCATTCCGATGCCTTCCTGTCCTGCAAATGAGGTTTTGACCCCTGTTCTCGCAATGCATTCTGGGGATGGGAAACTCGTGAATGATGTTCGCATGTCGTACCTGGTAGATCTGTTCCTTTGCCTTCTTGGGGTGTCTCTTCTCTATGCCGGTGAACATGGTGTCTGTGAGGCCCAGCTCGCAGGCCAGCAGCATGGGGAACGGCACGGTGATCTGGTTCCTCCTGATGCCGTCTGCAAACTGCCGCAGGAGCCGTAGGAACCGGGCCTCTGCAAACGGGCGGACACAGAGTCAGGATTACGTTTGGTGAAAAGTCATACATATCCAATTTTTGTTGCTCATAGGTTACCACCTGAAGTCCCTGTCACACATTCACGACCTTCCCCCGCCCTCTAGATTTGATCGGATTTAAGCCACCTTATCATCATCATTATCATCAATTACTATAAATCGAAACGAATTTGAGTCAGATTTTTCTTCTGTTCCCTTGGAATTGATTTTGGCATTCTACAAAATTTGCATCGTTTTTTTCCAATATTTTATTTTGTTTTGCAATTTATGGCATATATTTGCTCGTTTCGCAGCTGCTTTGTATGATTTACAGTATGGTCAAAAATGCTTGCTTTTAGAAACGGTCAAAAATTCATGCGCGTGGATGTCATACATATAATCAAATCAAAATGGCCTACGTCTAAAACATTAACCCTGTCTACTTAGAACACACGCTACTTACCTTCAAGCTTCCTCTGTTTGGCCTTCATCTTCCGGTCCTTGCAGAGCCAGCTCCTGATTGGTCGAAGGCCGCTGACGCACACAGACAATGGCGGGAACTCTAGCGGGTTGCTCTGCAGTGACAGGTCCTTCAGACGACCGTGACAGAAATCGTCGAAATTCTCTGGCAGACGCGAGATTCTGTTGTCTTGGAGTTGGAGGATTTTTAACCCTGACAGGACGCATAGCTCGTTTGGCAAGGACCTGATATCGTTACCGGGTAGTTTGAGCTCCCTCAAAGAACCAAGGTTACGCACGGTCACAGGAAGTGACGTAACTCCGGAATGTTCGACGAACAGTTTCTTCAAGTTCGTCAGGGCCCGAATGTCGTCAGGAATCCCGCCAATTCTTCTCCTTTGCCCGCCGAAGTAAAGTTCTTCGAGAGACTTCAGCTTGCAGATTTCTATCGGGAAATGTTCGAAGTCGTTCTGCGTGAGGGCCAAGACTCTTAGATGCTTCAAGTCCGCAATGTCTTCGGGTACGTCGCGTAGCTTGTTTTCGTCCATGGACAAGATTTCCAGATTGAGACACTCGCACACCTGTGAGGGAAAGATCTCAAACTGGTTGCGAGACAGGTAAAGTTCTCTCACCCTCACGTTACCGATATCCTGTGGTAGCTTCTGGAGGTTGTTACCGGCTAGATCTAAGATCTCAACGAAGATCAAGCTGCATAGATTCAAGTTCAAGTCAACGAGAGTGTTCTTGCACAGCCACAACTCTCTTAAAGACGCAAGATCACCAACTTCGTCGGGGACGAGAGTTAAGTGATTTCCACAAATGCTCAGCACTTCGAGACACAGTAACGCGCAGACTTGAATCGGCAGGTAGTCCAGATCGTTCTTGTTTAGTACAAGGCACTTCATGCGGGATAACTGGTCTATGTCGGCTGGTAGAAAGTTGATGTGATTGTCTTCAGCTTCTAACAGTTCGAGGTTGGATAAGGAGCACACTTCTGGTGGAAGTTCCTCGATGCCATTTTCACTGATGATGAGCTCCTTAAGGACCCGCAGCTGTGAGATATCCTTGGGCAAATCTGTTAGACTGTTTCCAACTAGACTCAAGTGGATCAGGTTTGTTAACATACAGACGCTGATTGGCGCGTGTGTTAACTTCAAATTGTTCAACTCTAACGCTTTTAAAGACGTTAGATAACGAACTTCTTGTGGCAGTTTGCTCTTCTTGATGGCTACGTCTTCAATAGACACTTCTTGTATGTCGTTGTCACTGATGTCTAAGGTGTCAACTTCGAGTTCTATCAGTTCCATAGGGAAGCTTTTGAACTCATTGCACTTGAGTGTGATGACTTCAAGATTCTGCAGTTCTGTGAATGCTTGTGGTAGAGCAGCGATGCGGTTTTTGTCCAGACGAAGCTTTTGCAACTGATCAATTCTATTAATGTCTTCTGGTATACATTTCAAGCGGTTTTCATTCATCTCTAAAGTTGTCAAGCTAGTTAGACCGTACGTCTGCTCGGGGAAAGTCTTAAATCTGTTTTTGTTCAACATTAAAGTTGTCAACTTTTTCAGTACAACTACGTCGTCAGGAAGATTGTGTAAACAATTGTCCGACATCTCGATGACTTCTAGGTTCACCATGGAAGTTATTTGTAGAGGAAAAGTCGCGAGACCAAGTCCGTTCAACTTCAGGACATGAAGCTTTCTGAGTTGCACTATTTCCGCTGGTAGTTGTGACAGAGCGTTATCGCTGACATCTAGTACCTGCAGACGCTCCATTGAGCAGATACAAAAAGGAAACTTGTCTAGCCTATTCTCTTGCAGAAAAAGCCGCCTGAGGCTTTTCAGTCTGCGACACGAATCGGGCAGGGAAATCAACTTATTGTGGTTTAAGTAAAATTCTCTCAGGTTGGTTAAGTCACCTATTTCGGATGGCAAGGTTTCAAGCTTGTTGTGGCTTAAGTTCAGTCGGAGTAGATTTGATAGAGTGCATATTTCAATCGCCAAGTCGTGAAGTTCTACACGTTCTAACTGCAACTCTTCTAAGTTCTTGAGTTTCGTAAACTTTGAGGGAAGTTTTGAGGTGGCATCGCAAAGTTTGGGATTGTCCGAAAGTCTAAGTTTCTTCAGTCCCTTTAGATAACACACGTGAACGGGGAATCCCAGTAGCTTGTTCTGTGCGATTGAAAGAACCTTCAGGTTTTTTAGCAAGCGTATGTCTTGTGGAACGCTGACGATGGTGTTGTTATCCACGCTCAGTTCCTCCAAGTCACGTAGTCTGTAGACTTCTTGCGGTATGGCGTGTAAGCCCCTATTTTGGAGATGTAAACAAAGGGATTTCTCTCTCGATTTGAACGTTAAAGATGAGAGCGTGACATCAGATTTCGGTAACAAGGAAAGCAACTGGTCTAACTTGCTTGTAGCGGCGGAAGACGGCCCCACGTTGAGCGGTACCGTATTGGTGGCCATTGTGAAATGGTTGTGACTTCTTGCTATTGCAAGCCCTGACCCTGAAAGAAATGCAACGGTACGGTAAGCACGGATCACCTCTATTTATAGCGCACAGTATACATTTCCACTTGCACTACAAAAACACTCAATTAGGTCAGGCCGAGTGGCTATTCGTTTGGTATTAGCCACTATTGTTCAATTCACGTCAAACGCGTAGCTGGAGTATCAGGTGAACTACCGAGTTAAGCACCTGTCACAAATTCACGAATTCGGCCTCCCAAACACTAGTCGAACGCTCCACAACCATGGTTGGGAATAGGTCGGCAAAAAGTCGGCTGGTGTACGATGAATTCGGCTACTGTTCGGCTGCGCTAGCTGAATGTTTCAACATATTTAAACATTTGGGAGTGTTCCGCTGTTATATATTAGTAGAACACCAGCCAACCATTCGGGAGTAAGAGTAAGTCAGCAGTGTTTTGTGGCGTGTTTGGGGCTCAAATTTGATTCAAAGTTAACTCAACTTCGTTTCTATTCGCAGAGAAAGGACGACGTGACCTAAATTTGGTCACACTTCTCCCGAACGTCAGCCGAACATGGTTGTATGGGAACAAATTCGGGGGAAGGTTGTGAATGTATGACAGGGTCTAGCTATACGGATGTTAGCCTCCATAGCATGCCAAAAACCGCGGGTTTGGGGGGTCTTCATGGTCTTTGGGAGCTTTTACGTGCTATTTTCTGATTGCATATAGACAACATAGCCGGCCTGGTTGAATTACCCCCGTTAGAACTGGGCTAATCAGAAAACAACCGAAGACCACCAAACCCCCAGTTCTATAAGCCTGCTACGGAAGCTAATCAGAAAACAGCCGAAGACCACCAAACCCCCAGTTCTATAAGCCTGCTACGGAGGCTAATCAGAAAACAGCCGAAGACCACCAAACCCCCAGTTCTATAAGCCTGCTACGGAGGCTAATCAGAAAACAGCCGAAGACCACCAAACCCCCAGTTCTATAAGCCTGCTACGGAGGCTATACGAATGTGTTCCGTGCACCTGTGCAGTTGGGTGCCACCGTATGTGTCGCCCTGTGGGCATTTATCGGTCTAACAGAACCGCCCTCGACAAACTGTTTTTGTTGGACAACAAAGATAAGGGGGGCGAGAAGCAGGGCCACCTGGCAAATAATCGTCTGTTAGCCGGCCGAAGTCCGGTGAATTACTCCCCTCTTATTGTGTAGTGGCGCGTGGCGTGACTAGGGTACCGGCACATACCTCCTCAGTATCGGGACAGATACTTGTTGGTTATAGCTACTTAGCGTCAGTTTTCAGAGTGTGCAACTGAATATGTTTGAGAAATTACAACGTTAAACAGTTACACGATCACCCTTTAAACAGTTCACGGGTATTCTAATGTCTAGAGAAAGCGAACGGTGGCTTTTCTACTGTCTCAAGTATTAGGTACACATGATCGTTATGACATAAAATGAACCACAAGGGATAGTTTTTTCCTAGCGATGACTACTGTATTTCATGTGTAGCTAAAAAGCTAGTAAGTGCAATGATTGTCATAGTAGAAAAGCGCCCGTCAAACGAACTACCAACCACTTATGGAATGATATCCATACTTCAGCCTTGTCTTTAAAACTATAAACATGTTATTATACCAGAGACATTATTATACAAAGTAGGTCTCAGTGCTACCAACCTTACTGGGTCCGGGTCTGGTCTGGCCTAAACTACCCCATGGTAGTCCACTGGTCATTCCCTGCGGCCAAAAAATCGTTTGTGGGTCGGCCGAACCGACATGTTTGTAGAAGGCGTGCGGGCTTTGTGAACAGGTAAGTGATCTGTGTGTACCTGTGTGTAGTCTGCGGCGCTGTTGCCATAGTGACAGAGGTCAGAGGTCACCCGCCGGGTGTACGTGCTCGGAAGGGATTGTCTGCTCGGCACGTACATATACGAACTTTGCCGACGCCGATTCCGAAGATGTCCGAAACCCGAGAAACCTCCGACACTGCTCTAAACACTGTACTATAGTATCTTTAAGCACACCTTAAAGCACGCGTGAAGGTACACTTGAATTAAGAAACAGAACCTATACGCTTGCTTTAAGGGTAAGGCCACACCGCCTTAATTTTATGGATGACATCCGCGCGCGCATTGATTTTCGCCTGTTCTAAAAAAAAAGATCATGTCCTTCAAGGCTCTGGCCTGGCTCTAGTCCATAGTAGTTAGCGACAATACGGAGGTGGTAACTCTGGAGGATGGCACCTAGGCTCCCGAAGCCCCACGACTCAAGAACTCAGTACATACCTACAGTGCCGATTCATGAATATCGCAAGAAGCCAGCATATGCCGGCTTGTGTACTGCCGCAAATTCACAATACCAGCTTCGTATCCCTATGGTTTAGTAGTATTTTTATTTTTGGCCGGATTTTTTTTTATTCGCCCGCGCGCACTAGTTTTGGGGTCTTCAGGGGATGTCATCCATAAAATTAACCCGGTGTGGCCTAATGGAACTTAATGCCATAGACAGTGGAACTTGATAGGCAATGGAATATAAAGCCATAGGCACTTACATTCAACATAGAGCGAGCGCTAACATTATTCCTGCAAGAGTAATACTAGTGCTATATTGGTTTTATGATTTACAATTTATGTTCAGAATGTTCAGTTGTTGATTTCCTTATATATGTTGTTAATTTCGTTGACTCATTTTGTTGAATGATTTTTAGATTGTGTGCAGTTGCTTTGTTTTAAGTTTCTTTATTTAAGTTTCTTTATTACATGTATGTTGTATATATGTTGTATGTGCCATGGCCCATATGAGGCAGAAAGGAAAAAAAAAGTTCACAGTCGTTGTGTAAAAAAAAGTAACCGAACGTAACAAGATTATGATGTATTTTCACAGTGGTGTATCGCAAGACCACACTTCCTTTCCTGGTTAAACTACTTAATGAGACATGACACGTACAGGTGTTGCCCATCTACCATGATTACCTGCTAGATTGTTGTATTAATATGTTTTATCAAATTAACGAAATAGTTTTGATACGTGTATATGTGCAGGCCTAAAGTAAGGCATTTTAAGTTGTATTGACTAAGTATTAATAATATAACTTAAGTGTAAATATGCTCTCTTTGTAATGCCATACTACAATTCAGCTAAAAAGCTGCCACTGTATGGTTGTTTTGAGTCGCCACAATAAACCATTGATTGATTGATTGATGGATGGATGGATGGATGGATGGATGGATGGATGGATGGATGGATGGATGGATGGATTGATGGATGGATGGATTGTTGTTGTGTGGATTATGATCTTTAATATATTACCACGGTTCTTATAAGCCTATAGAATCACCTGGGCACAAGAACACTAACACTTGATGTTGGACAGAAACATGTCTTTGCTACACACAAAACAGACAGAATAGTTTCAGAATCACATTATATCATTGTTCACATACGTGCAAATAGAGATATGTGTTTCATGTTATTTTCGTTGGGGAAATTCAAGCGAAACATATCTGCATTTGAACGTAGGGGCCATTTAAACCCAAGAGGGGCAGAATACAAATCATAAATGCTACTTTAGAAAGTATTTCAAAACAGGGATTTCAAAATCAATAGGGACTTAATAACAGTAATAATCATATTAACACCATTTAGATGGAGACTATATTACTACATAATATCATTACAACATAAGCAATATCACATCATGATAAACAACATAAACGCATGAAGATATTGTTATTTTCTTGATTGATATGGAAAAACAAGCAGAAGTAACATAACTGATAGAACAGGAATTATGAGAAGAAAAATAATAGATTTTTGTTCATAAATCGTTTTTGTTCAAACAATTAGAGACTGATCTATCTTATTGTCGAATAGTTTAGGTTCTGCCGTATAGAAACGTAACAGATTGTTATTACATGTACATTGTTTAATTATCGATTGAAATTTAAGCTTTTCCTTGTACCATCTTGCAAAACTAAAGAACGCACATCCGAAAATAAGTTCATAAGGTTGGTAGAACATAGGATATAGGACATGGCTAAGGGGGATATAAACTTTTGGGATAGTGTTCTCGTCGCCAAAGCGCCACCTACATGTACCTCGGCAACATATAGCGGCGAGAAGCAGTACTCCAGTCAGAAGCTGATAGGCATCGACACGTGCGTAGTTGAGAGATTTTTCTGGTTGTGTAAGAGGAAAACCCCGATCCCTAAAATGTTTCTTTCATCACTACGATTTGCATAATTTTGTGTACATCAATTTGAAGTTCAATGTTGTGCTGCCCTGTCTTATGACATCCGTAAATAATTTCATCAGGTTGGTAAACTAATGAATAGCAAAGTTCTTTGATCACAACCATTTATTTTTCACGAGCCGACGTTTCGATGACCGTCTGTCATCTTCATCAGGGAAATTCTGACTGGTTTACTGTGCACTGACGCTAGATGTCCCTATGATGTAACAATGCCTAGTAGCTAGGTATGTCACAATAGCACTACGTTCGGAAATGCATTGTTAACAGTAAAAACTAGCGTAAGTGCACTGTCAACCAAGTAACAGTGCACTGTGAACCATGTAACACCTTTAGTACACTATGCGCCAAGTAACATCTGGCGTCAGTGCACAGTAAACCAGTCAGAATTGCCCTGATGAAGATGACAGACGGTCATCGAAACGTCGGCTCGTGAAAAATAAATGGTTGTGATCAAAGAACTTTGCTATTCATTCTCTTATGACAGTTATTGCTTATCTGTTTCTGTCTCGTTCCGTCGTTTTATATTAGGGTGACCTGCTACGATCTTCAGTAGCATGTTCATAACGCCATTCCCAGCTTGGCCAGCCCAAACCCATGGCCTTGGGGGCAAATGTGAGCCCAACACAAGTGGGTCTAACCCACACCTGTGCCATGGCCTTCCAACTGACCACACATCACATGGAGTAAGGTCTGGTCAAACCACGATGTTATATGTAACACCAACACCCGGTGCGCCTATGTCCGAACTGGCTCCAACATGGCACTAAGAGCAACTTAAACTTCAACAAAACTGCTTCTTCAGACATTTGCTATAATTGTTTTCCCCCACTATCTACAGAAATGCATCAATATCCGCATTTTTTTTCGTCACTTGATCAGATGTTAACACTTATGAGTGTTCAGTCCGTATTCGGGGATAACAAGCATTCGGCTGAAGAAGTTTTATAAACATTTCCCACGTAACCAGACATGATATGACTATTCATCGATCTTCTTGATCAAGATTGTTGATGAAACCAAGGAGGTTTTAAGTTTAAATTCAAACTTAAACTTAAATCTAAACCTGCTAGGAGGTTTTTAAGTTTAAATTTTAGATTAGATTAGATTTAAACCTGCTATTTGATGAGACCAATGAGGAATCATATTTAAATATAGAATACGTGGGAAGTGTCTATATTATTGTAGAAGTTTAAGTTGCCCATGCTCTCTTGTATGTCTTGTACACCACTGTTAGGTTATACAGCGTTGAATATGGTCTTGGAGGTCCCTTGGGTTGTCAAAGAGTCTCTGACACCTAATGGTGAGACAAAAGGGAATAGTTAACAAATCTGTTAAAGCTAGTATTCAGTATGTCTGAAACTTCTATGTTTGCTTTGTACATAGCATTGTGTTTTGTCTTTTTAAT